TATATTTATATATAGATAGATATATACATATATATATATATATATATATGTATATATATGTATGTATATATGTATATATATATATATAGATATAATTTTTGTCATTTTTCATCATTTTTCATCAATCTTTATGGACACCTTTGTATTTCTCTCCCCGTGCAGGCACTCTGGGTGTGGGGGCAGGCTTTGCCATTGCCACCAAACTACGGTCTCCGAAGAGTGAGGTGTGGACTATTTTTGGCGATGGTGCCGTAGGTTTCAGTATCACCGAGGTATGTCCTTTCATAGAAAGATCACTAAGTATTGGCTTGTACGGGTGGCTTCAGTGAGGTCTAGTATCTCAAAAGTATGTCACTTTTTAATAAATAGATTTGAGTATTGTATTGTTTAGTGGCTTGCCCATTAAATTAAGAGTGTCTAGGTTATTGTTCGGCAATTGACATATATACCTCTAAACTGTCATTCTCTTCTATTTCAGCTGGATACCATGGTTCGCTTCAAGTTGGGGGTGATCATGGTGATTGGTAACGATGCCGGGTGGACGCAGATGGTTAGAGATCAGGAGCGGTTCTTACAGTCGTCTGTGGCCTGTGTGCTCAGTCCAACTCGCTACGATTTGGTATGTTACGCCTATGTCAGTGGCAGGTGCACACTGTATTCGGGACATTTGGCTTAAATGTATAGACGACTCAGTATGCTATGAAGGCATACGAAACACTTGTGCATGCTTTTTCTCTATTCAATATGTTATGCACGGGAAAGAGATATGTGCAGATAAATATGAAAAGGCGCATACACGCACGAGTTGACATTATATTTGTTTGTGAGCGCGAAAGTTATTCCATGGAAATAATGACAGCGAAAGAGTTATATGCACTTCAAGATATGTACATCATTGATTCAATATTCTGTCATGTCCGCGTTAAGCTTCGAATATTATATATATATATATATATATATGTATATATATATATATATATATATATATATATATATATATATGTATATATATATATTATATATATATAAGTGTGTGTGAGTATGGTGTATGGTGTATGTGTATGTGTATATGTTTATACGTATTTATGTATGTATGTATATGTATGTGCGTTTGTGTGTATGATATATATATATATATATATATTTGATTCATGTATCTGATTTATTCAAACACATATTGCGACCGTCGCTGTCTTTCAAAGTGGTACTTTTGTATTGTCTGTGCGTTCCATGGAATGCTGCTGTTTGTACCGCGGTAACTCATCTGGCCCTTGCATGTGCTTAACTGGGTAGCCATGGAAACGTTCACTTTTAGCCAGCTTCCACGGTATGCGATGTGTATTCCTCCTCGGCGTTCCTTCACATGTGCCATAATTCTGTGGTAGGTATGCAAAGCTGATAGAATCTTCCTCACTAAGATGGGTGCCACTTCAACAATACAATTCTGAATACAATTTTAACCCATTGCTCGTTGTACCTATGCATGTACCTATTTATCGGTAGGTATGCGAGGCTTATGGAGGAAAAGGCTTTCTGGTGGAGAAGCACGAGGACATCGAGTCTACTCTCGCGCAAGCGAAGGAGGCGGCGGCCAAAGGGTTGCCTGTGGTTATCAACTGTCGTATAGCGCGCAACAACTTCCGAGAAGGGGCCATCAGTGTCTAGACCACATGCCCCTTACTATGAAATGATAGTCGGAAATTGCCATTTCTTGCGACATATACCATCCATTGCAGACTATATCAATTTACTGCAATACGGAGCAAAGGTTCTCCTGTATATAGCGAGGGACATTTCCTTTTCAATTCTCCCCATCGTTCCCCTTTCTATTCCTTTCATTTCCACATCAGGCATTGGTTTAATATGATCAAGCAGCTTCGATAGCTCAGAATGTCTCGTTTGGAATGCTCGTTTGGCGGTCGTAGTGTGTATGTTAACATTGCAGCGAGTGTGGCCGGGGACACCACAGAGATAAGCAGCACCATCTATAAATATCTATCACAGCGAGAGTAGTGTGCGTGACAAACCGCCGCCCTGAAGGACTCACACCGAACCGATTCGCGTGCAACTCTATATAATATTGAAATAGGAAGTCTGAAGTAAGCTGGAGACTTTGAGCGCGGGAAGTGCTGCAGTCTGTAATTAGTGCGATCACATGTCATCCGATAACCGAAGTATCGAATACAGGCAGGCCTAAGTTGATACAAGCGGTCGAAACCCGATTTTGAACTCGCAGATTAATTGGTATCGATTTGTACGCTGGAAATAAACATGATTAGTTGACCTACTCTATTTTAAATTGTTCGGCATTCGCATACGTGCAGTCAGTGACATACGACATACTTACGTTGATAAGGAGATGATACTCAATTTATCTGATGGCAATCATATTTCATGTCAACCGAGAATCTCTAAACTTTGCCATTTAATATGTTTCTACCCATTCTTGATCCAATAGGTTCCCTACACCAGAGCGGCCATATCTGCACAACAAAAAGTATGGTTGCGGCACAGCTTTCTAAATGTTCTTTTTTAGGATACTGGCATTTTTGTGCCCGTAGAAAAAAGTGGGTTGCACTTTTCGGCGCATGTAATTTTGTATATACTTGCGCACTGCTGTGTACCACGGCAGTAGCTCTCTGTGCAATTAGGCAAGTCAGCGCAATTGCCCGTAAACTGATGGCACTCCTTCTACTGATTATATGTCGCCCCAATGAACCCCTTCTGAGCACAAGTTATCACTTTATTGTATAAGCCGTTGCGGTAACAGCGACGGCGGCGATAACAGCGACAAATGCACATCTCATTTTAAAACAAAAGTTCAGTATGCTCTCACGGATATCTCAATTTTTTTACGGATATGTTCTGCGCGCTATAATATATATACGAATTCACCATCAGGATATTCGGCCGTTCAGGCAATGTTATCTTCGGAGAACTCATAATTAAAAACAGGGATCGCATTCTTTTTATGGTGTACATTTGGACAAAATGGCGTTTTTTGACTCCCCAGTGCACCTATACTCATATGTGAGCGTGTCCTGTCAGCTACTGAGTGCTGAGTATTGACTGTGCACAGTGTACTGAAAGCCTGGACATAATGCAACATGGTACATTGTATTGTACGTGCGTAACGTTCTTCTCGCCCTCAGTCGTCCATTTTTTTTAAGCAAATACTACTTTGGCTTAATGGTCATCGCGCCATCGGTCATCACTCTGTCCTGAGTTTTCAGTTCTCAACAGTCTCAACTCTCAATAGTCTCAACTCTCAAGTAACAAGTAGTAACAAGTTTGAACTCTCAAGTAATGAGTAGTATCAAGTCTCAACTCTCAAGCAACAAGTAGTAACAAGTCTGAACTCTCAAGTAACAAGGAGTAAAAAGTCTCCACTCTCTATAAGTCAAAAGTAAATTAATCTAGTCGTTTTGCTTTTATTTTTATTCATGTGGATTATCTTGTCTCCCTGTCGCCACTGCTAAATCAATATATGTTGTAGCTCACGTTCCCGTTGCTATCCGATTACATATACACATATACACACAAACACACACACACATATATATATATATTTATATATATATATAATATTATATATATAATATTATATATATAATATTATATATTATATATATAATATTATATATATATATATATATATACATATATATATATATATATATCTATATCTATATATATATATTTATATATGTGTGTGTGTGTGTGTGTGTGTGTGTGTGTGTGTGTGTGTGTTTACTGTTCTCTATAGTTAACTCTGGTGCAATATACTCTGGCCGAATCATCATCTTCCTCTGTCTTGAGTGAAGTTCTCGTTTTGAAGCCTCTGTACAGTTATTGTGTAGCTCGTACTTATACTTTCGCCGCTGGCAGTCTTGTGTTTTTTAGTTCGCGCCCAGCATTGGTTCCAATAGTTTACAATAGATTAATGAGAAGATGGCACACGCTCATGACGCACCTTTCCTGCGGTATGTGGTTCTGGTGTCTTTCATCGTTACAAATAGAATTCGAAAGTGGTGCTTACTTTTGAGGTCATGTGTGGTTAGGAGGATTAGTCTAGGAAGTTTACGGATCTATTTGTGAGGCTTGAGCTGTGTGCGTGAAGTCAAAATGTGTTTTATGCGTTTTCAAAACTTTTGCAGAAACACCGGGTCAGGTTATGTGTACAGCTAAATTTCGAGTGTAGATCAATCTTTTGGCTTATACCAACTCCATATGTGAATACAACTCGTAAATAACTTTTGTGTTTTTCAGGCTATGCTCTTATGAGTCACGGTATCAGAGATAGCTCACAAACACACAGGTGATTATAGTTTACGGCAACTATTGTATTGGTTCACAAGGCAAGGATGAAATCGTCGTGGGGCATTTTATATGCGCAATGGGATATATAGTGCTTTATATATTTGATAATCATACTAAGCACTGTTTGTTCGCATGTAGACTTGTAAATGAACCTCTAAAAAGATGTAAATTCCGAAAATCCTTAGTAGCTTAGTCATGCTATCCCCGAAAAATCATCGATGACAATGGGCTTCCCTGCTTCTTCTGCGTATTGTTGCAATTCGAAGTCGTGGCTGACTTCGATCCCCATTTGATAAGGCAGCAGGGAGTAGATGCTGCCGATTGGACGTTCTAG